TGACCTTTACAGTTTTTTAATGAATTCTGAGTCCTAGGTCAGTCCTGGCATTATCACAAACATTTTGGCAGCACATGGAAAGTTGCTCACCCTAGTTTTCATCTTGTAGCAGATAAGTGCTGGGACATGACTCTTGGAGTCTGTGCTCTGGATGCAAGTTGTGGGCAGCGAGGGCGCTGGGGACAGACCTGTTCTCCGTTCTCCTAAGGTGTGTTGCAGTGCAAAGTTAGTGTGTTGGCAGGGCTGCTCAGAGGTCTCCCATGCATCTAGAGCTGTCTTTTCTTTCCTGCTGCCTCCTAGAGTAGTTGTTCTCCTTCAAGCATGTTATTTCTGCTCCTGACTCCCTCACCTCTTTATTTCATGTCTCTTTATTCCCTAGCTCTGCCCACTGTGGTTCCACTTGCTCTTTTCTTGGTTTCCCTGTTTGTTATTTGGAACTAGGTGTTGTATGAGCATCCAAGAAAAGCAGCCTGCAAGGTAGGTATAGACTGTGTGCAATGGTTGTTAGGCTAGAAAAGGAAATACTTTTGAGTAACACTTTTTTGAAAATGCTTAAATCCTGGTGCTGAGATTGATTTGCTTGTTGTTTCTTCCCTTAGGGTCACTCAAAGACCATCCACAGCAGCAGGCTGGCATGCTTTCTCGTGTGACTGGTGGCCTCTTCAGTGTCACAAAGGGAGCTGTTGGTGCCACAATTGGGGGTGTTGCTTGGATTGGAGGGAAGAGCTTGGAAATTACCAAAACAGCGGTCACATCTGTGCCTTCCGTGGGAGTGGGTCTAGTCAAAGGAAGTGTTTCTGCTGTAGCTGGAGGCGTTACAGCTGTAGGATCTGCTGTTGCAAGTAAAGTGCCTTTAACAGGAAAAAAAAAGGACAAGTCTGACTAAAACCAAAACTGAGACATACTCAATTCTCCAGAATATTGCATCAGTGGCATTAAAATCTGCTAAGATTGGGACCATGAGAAGCCATGTGTCTTAGACACTATCTTCTAATGAGTTGTGCAAGTAACTCAATTTCATCTGAAGAGGACAGAAGAAGCTTGGCTAGCACAGCGTATGAGGATTTATTAGAGTCTAGATTGAAGCTTTGTATCTGGTGAAATGTTACACTTGATAACTATAGAAGTGAGTGTATCTGAAGGAATAATGCATATTTGAATAGTCATTTACTGTACATCTTTTGCAGTTTTGGACTAAAATGTGAATGTAGAAACTTGGTAATCTCTGTGATGCCATCGATATGAGATGACAATTATTGTTCTCAGTGGTTTCCACATCCTCCGCTAAGGATCCTTCAGCTGTGTAAAAGCACTGTTGGACATACACAGTCTTGGTTATGAACCTGTGCTTGCAGCCTGTAAACTATCCCTGACTGCATTCTTCCAGTGAAGACCGGAGCAAAGAGACTGGAGATGTGTAGAAATTGGAAATGAAAATGGAGATAGAAGTGAAAAAGCTTAACAACGTGGTAGAAAGGATCATAAAGAGTAAACTAACTTAATGCCTTATTAGAAGAAAATCTCTTTTTACTAGGTGAAGCTGTGTAAAGAACTGTCCTGTCGTTTCAGTGCAGTTTACAGCATGAGCTTTAGGCTCTTTTTAAATCCCGATATCTGAAACTTTCTCAGTTTTTACTGAAAACGTGATTGCTTCATCTCAGGTGTATTTAATAATATGCATCTATCTCCTGCAAGTGAGAACTTGCTTCCAATAAACTTCTTAGATGCTAGAAAAAATCAGCCTGTGGAAAATGGGCTGATGTTTGTGGTCATCTAGCACAGCTGTCTAACTTGCTAGGAATTCTTGTGTAGCTGGAAACCACTGAAGAACTAGCAAAGCTGTTCTCTCAACTCTCTGATACACCAGGTTAGCTTTTTGCTCTGTTTAAGCAAATGCAAGGAAAATTTCACTACATTTCTTGTACTTTTCACCTTGATTTATGAGTAAAATGCAATACATTTATTTAAAACAAACCAAAAACAGTAGATGAGGCCTTAAAAAAAAAAAAGGCAAAGTGATTCAAGTAATTTGTATACTGACAGATTCCAAATGTTGACACCTCAAATGGGAACACCTGTACATCCTCTGCAGTTTGTGAGGCAAAATGCACTTGTAATGACACAGCGTGAGGTTGCCTTAAAATAGAAACCATTTGTGATCTTTTATTTGTGTACTGATTTTGAAAATAAGTAATCTCTTTGGAAGCCCATGGAAAGCATCTGCTCATGGTGTGTATGCAGTATTTTCTAAAAACTTTTGTTTCTGTGGAGAACTTGTACGCTTACTTTTTCAGTGGCTGTGGTTGAACTAGAAGTTATATGGGGGGACTTTTTAAAAATGAAAAAAACTCGAAACATATCACTTATTTTTTGTTCACGGGTGTTGAAAGTTCACCATGTCTCAATTATGGTACTGTAGTCGCCCAATCTCTCTGAGCCATTGGTACTTCAACTGTACAACTTTATTTTATATCAGAAATCGTACATGTTGGAAGCATGATACTTGTAAGCATGGAACTTGGGGTGGTGGGGAAAGCAAAAACCCAAGAAATGACATCTGCTCCTTCTGTTAGATGCACCAGATGCTTGGTTCTGATCTGCAAGGGTGTAAGGAGGTAAGTCAATGGAAAAAATTGAAGACTTTAACTATTTTTTTATAGTCAAAACCAAATTGCATAGAATACAGTATTGTTTAGAGGTACCAGTTAGCTCTAGAAATGAGCTAGCCTGGATATCAGAGGCAATTTGCTGCAGCATATAATTTAGTATGGTCTGCTCCCCTGCAATTTCCAGTGTAGCAATATCCCCCAAGTGCTGCCATTGAACTCTTGGGAGTCACCTGTTCGGAGCACAGTGATAATTTGTGACACTCAACCAAACTCTTCCTAATAGTTTTTCTGTAAATGGGAATGTTGAACTGGTCATGCCCACTTTTTTATTAAATTCTTTAATTTTAATCTATGAAACTTGCAGCAAAACAAGCGTGGTCTGAGATAAGCAATGTTAGGTATGTAAAGAGTTGCCAGCCATTATGTTTTGTTTTTAACATATCCTGTAGCTATTGAGTCTTGTAAACTGAAACTTTTACATGCATATGGGTTTAATTTTCAAAGAGCTTTGTCCTGTATCCTGTGTGTTTTCCGTTCACTTATGAAACTTGCTTAATCTTAAAAACTTGTTCCAGTTCTGTTCTGGCACCTGTGAAACATTAAATTGTTGCTGTTTCAGACATTTGAAAGCTTCCTTAGTTTTGTGGAGAAAGGCATACTTAGGTATAAATCTTCCCACAGTACCATGCTCCAGAGTGTCTTCTATTTGTGTCTACTTAGCACCAACCAGCTCTTAACAAAAGCTAACTTCAGTGTGTAAACTATGCACCGACACAGCACAAAAGCCTTTGCAGTAATTTTTTTTTCCCCTGGTCAATGATGCTTGGGACTACCCAGTTTTAAGATCATAGTAAGCTGAATGGAATATGAAACTGAAATTTTCTGGGGGAGTGAGGTTGTTCTTTTTTCTTTGGATTGTTTTTGTGGTATCTTTATTTCACTTTCCTCTTCCCAGTCCCCGTTTCAAAAGTGGAAATGTTTATGGAGGCAGCTTGTATGCCTGACTGCTCTCTAGGTAGTGAAAAGCTTACTCATAGGCTGCTCCACAGTCACTGTGAGTAAGGAAAGTTGATTATTTCAGTCATACAGTATTTTGGTGACTGGGAGCTTTCCTGAGGTTTTATTGTAAACGAATCCTGTGAAGAAGAGAGAAACAGGTCCCAGGATAGAGTTAGGAATGAAGGATTGACTAAATTTTCATCTGGTAGCAGAGAAGAAGATAATTTCTGCAAATCCTTTTATTTTGAAAGGGGAAAAGAAATGGAAATTTTCAGAGTGCAAAATGAGTTTGTGATAACTCAGGCTGTGACTTAGTTAAGGAAATATATCCTTTTCCTGTTCTGTTGCCATTGGAAACAATTTAAGTGATGGGAATAAGCTGTTTCAAGAACTATGTAAAAACAGGTACCTGTAGAAATGCTAGAACTAAATATTCAGGGAAAACACTGTTGTATGTCTTGGTTTCCTTTTCCTCCTAAGCTACCAATCAGGTCTCAGTTACAGGTTGTGTTAGAAGAGCTTTGGAGACCTGAAATGCCCTTTTGTGTCTGAGGGGAAGGAAGCTTTTAAATTCAGATAATATTGTGGTCTGCTTAATAGCTAAGCAGGAAAAGACAGTCAGAAAATTACAAAGGCAAGTTCCTGTGAATTTTTAATACAGCTGTCTTCCCAGTTTCCTCTTAAAAAATGATAATGAGTTTTGAAAGAGTCAGCATAGACACAGCTGGTACCACAGCCTGACTTTTTTATGCTGTGATACATCCCCTTCTTGAATTGTGCCACTGTTGCACACACTCCTGCAGGAGTGGCATTTACCCCCAGAAACGCCTGTCACATCTGCATTTGCCTGCAGAGTGCTCAGTGTAAGCCCTTCAGCTGTTGGGATCTTTGCACTGCTCCCACCAAGTATTCCCAGCCCCTCCCCAGTGCACACCAGATAATATGGCAGACTATGTAAAATCATCTTGCAGCTTACCCTCTGGACAAGTAATTCAATACCAGCTTTCTTCAGCAATTACAAATCACATTCTAAGAAATGAAGGCTTGGACTTGCTGCCAAAATGTGTGTTAAAAATGACCTTGAAGAATGCCTGGAGTGAGAGTGGTGTGTAGCTGGCTTTTATTCTACTGTCAAGAGGGAATGTGTGTGGAATAGCTATTTAGGAAAGTCTGTGAAATAAAGTCACTGATCCTAATCCTATTGAGATGATTGTTAGTGATGCTACTGTTTTATATTATCATTCACAGCCTGTAAATGAGAAGAAATCAAATCCCCTGAGAACTTAAAAGCTGTCTGATAGTTACTATTTTGAAAGCCAGCGCTTGTTGCCAATTGTCATATGGTGTTATCTTAGAAGCAGTGTCACCCATATATTTAGAAACTGTTGCAGCTGTTTGCAAATCTGGTAGTCATGTTTAATCACCAGTGGTTTACAGAGTGAGTTTTGTTGCACCGAATAGAAAAGTATTACTTTCTCTTTTCTCCTACCATAATTTGAGACTTGAATCTCTCCCTAATCTTTCTTGTCCCCAAACCTTGCTAGACAATAAGATCTACACATTGGCAATAAATGTATTTCTTCCTCTCCCAAACCATTTGAAAAAACAAGTAAATTTTGAAGGCTCAGAAATATAAAGGTTATCATCCTGTAGTTCTTTGGATTATGGTTTGTACACAAAGATACTAGGGTCTCACCATAGCAGTCAGTGAATAAAAAGATACTATGTCCAGCCCCTGTTCTCAGGACAGGGCTTTGCTGTCCAAGAAATCAAGTCTGTTGCAGGTCACAATCCAGGAGCTAGAGCTTCTTCAGCAACAAGGAAAATAACTCCAAAAGCATTTCCTGAAGACAGTGAACCAGCCAATTGATGAATACTGCTGGACAAATAATCCTCCTTTTGTCTTCTTCAGATAAAATTTGTGCTAATCATTACCACAGGCTGGACTGCAGTGACGGAGCTGAAAATCTAAGGCAGTTAATGCCCTGTCAGGTAAGAAAATCATCTGGGGTACTCTTAGGAAAAAGTTAAATTTATCATTACTGTAACTTCTATGATGATATTTTTCAGTATGATAATATTATGATGAATAATGAAGTTGTGCCCAAGACCCCCTTCTGAACAAAGTACAGTGTAAGACTACAGTCTTGATTTAAGATTGCTTTTGTTCCATCTCTTCTCAAAGAATCAACTTCCCTTTTCATTTGCGTTTGCATAACTTGAAGTACAGTGTTCAAATTAATCTTCAATGTGTAAAGGAGCAACAGGATTAAAAATTGGTCTCTCCTTCTTTGATTGTATCTTACCATAAGTGACTTCAAAGTCTTTTTTAGTACCATTCAAGCTTTCTAAATTTCCACTCTTTATATCATATCCTAATGCAGAGAGCTTTTTAATTCGGTACTGAACTATTTGTGTTGTCAACTCCAGCACCATTGGTGTCTCTCTTATCTGTGCTATAGAAATTCCTTCCTTCAGTAGTCCTTCAAGTCTTTCTTCCAAAACTGGGACAGAATAATAGAGAAGGGCTGGGCATTTCAGCACTAGTTGTTTTAGTTCTTGATCACTGCATTTGAAGATGTTTTTGGAGAAAAGCATACTCTTCTGCATAGTGGCAGAATTAAGTTGAAAAATGAAGCCTTTAAGTTTGGACAGAAGCTGTAGAACTTCCTGGTCAGTGAAATTATTCTTTTGGAGAAATTCCAAGTTCTCCTGGATTGCAGTGGAAGTATTTAATAAAATAAATGGATTTTGGCTCAATAACTTCAGTATCCAGATCTTCATATTTGCTTCAGAACCCCCTAAATTTAAATAATTTATTTGTAATGTCTCTATCACGCTTTTGTTGTTCTCAACAGGGTTATAGAAAATATTTGGTGCACTTGTCAAGAACCTGGTGATTATATTATTCTTAAGTCCTAGCTCTTGAAAAAACAGTATGTTTGCCTTCTGGTTCTGCTGATACTCAGTAGTAAAAAAAGACTCTGGAAATTGCTCTATTAATTTAACCAGCTGGTTTTCATTCTGGCATACTAATTGCCATAAAGCTCTTTGAGAGTTTATCTCTGCTGGGGTGTGGAGAATTGCCTCGGGGCAGCGTTCTATAATGTTGGCTACAGTGGTCTTATCTGCTCCCATTTCCTGTAAGATACCAGCAATTTCTTTAACATAGGCCACATCCTGGAGAAGGACCCATTCCTTCAGTCTGCGTATCTTCGTGATGTCGACTGACAAACTGTAGAGATTCTCAAGGGTTTTTTTATTTTCCTCTCTTGACTTGGTATCAGTTGTGTAACTGGAATGTATTAGGAATCTCCTGTTTGCTACGTCAGGCCATACTGATGAAAACTTCAGTCCCGGGTTACAGCTCTGAGGTCTTGTCAACAGAAGCGTGAATGTGTGTTTTGCACCGTGAGCAATTCCTCTCAACATCTTGGAAATCAGCCCTGTGGAGACACAACAACTCTAAGACAACACATTTAAGGAACAAGTTAATGGTCAGAATCATTGATGTTTAGACAGAACTGGTGTAAGAAATAGCTCTCCAGAGTGGTTTTTGTTATTAGTGCAAAATCCAGCTTTCACATGAAAGCAGGGGAAGGACTGCTTTTGAAAGGTTAAGTTTCTGATGGACACATCATTGGAACAGTAACATGGATGCAACAGACCTGATGTGGGGCAGTGCTCTGCCCATATCAATGCCTGCAGTCATACAAGCTCCAAACTGTCAGCCATTTCTTGCAGCTAACTTTGTGACTGCATTACAGATCACCCGCACTGTGTGAGTAAAATGATTCATGCAATTTCATTTGACAGCAAGCCCACTAAATTAACAAAAATGGCAGCTTAAATCTTAGTTATTATGGGTGTATTTGCTTTAATTTCTCAAGCATTATTTGGAGTGTGAGTTGTTCTTTCATGTGTCAGAGACCCACCACGCAGTGCTGCTTCAGCAGCAGTTTGCAGCACAACTTCATTTTGAAATCATTCTTTATATAATTAAGGGAGGAGAAAGAAAATCATTTGAGCCTTTATGTAAGTGTTTTTCTCCAGCTGTGTGCGTTAATTGAATGTGAATAAGCACCTTGGTATTCTGGGGGAGGAAGCAAGTACACAGTAACATTTCCAGGCCTTCACCTACCTCTTCCAACACCTACTTCACTACAGCTGCTGCTTGCACCAATGCCTTATTTCTGCCTCCAGGTCTCTTCTGTAGGCAGAGTCCTTGTGGAATAGGTGTGTGGCTGTGCTGGAGTCCACAGGGCCAACCCCACACCTCACCTTTGCTCAAACTGGCTGCCCAGTTATCACCAATACCACATGCACTGTCACCTGCTCTGCAGGGGCAAAGGAGCCGCAGCAGTCAAACAAAGATATCATCAAGTGTATCTTTAACTTCCTGGGGGTGTTTTCATACAACCCTTTGGAAGTACCGACTGTGCAAGGGAGAACTGCTGATCTCTGCAATTATCCTGCAAATAGCTGCTGCTGGTAACATGGTAACATGCTTAAAAATGCTCAAACTGAAAATGAGAACGTTTGGACAGCTGCTTTCACCTCTTCCTAAGTATAGCATGCTTCAAAAAGTACCTATATGAGCATTGTTAAATTACTTTTGGTTGGGCTTTTTTGTTGATTTTTTTGGGGGTGGGGGGGGGTCCTCTTTTTTTTTTTTTAGGAGATAAAATACTGTTATGATCATGCAGTCCAATCTCCTACATAACAGAACAACATACCTATTCTACAGCTGTATGAAAGCCCTAGAATCTTCCTTGTAGCCCACTGTCTGAGAAAATATGTGGTTGGTTTAGAGAACCGTAGTGGTAGATTGATTCTCTTTCTCGCTGCCAGATAAGGTTAAATATTTTCCAGAGGTAAATCCTTTGTCTCAAGAGAGTGTACCTTTATTTTTAGATTTTTAGATTGCTTTTTTCCTTCTTCTGAGATGGACTATTGTTATGTTATTACATCATAAACTAACAGAATATGATGTAATTTCCTATATGCACTCATGTTATTAACAGAAGTTGTTTATTGGTAACTTGTTCTTTAGTGTTATTTCACACCTCTAAGGCAAAACCAATTACTTAATGCGCTGCTTGTGTCAGAGCCCTAAGGCTGATGGTTTTGTTTTCATACGCCTTGTGACTTCAGAAATGCTGTCCCAAGCCCCACAAAAAAAACAAGTGATTTTTCCCAGGAACCTTGAAAGCACTGGAAGTGTAGGTAAATCACAGATATTTTGTGTGCTGACCTTTCCAAGTCCAGAAAAAGTGACTGAAAACTAAACCTGTGCTCCACAGGAGTGACACAACTGCCTGTGTCTGAGCACTCTGAGTAGTTTTACTGAGTTTAGTGGGTCCGGTCAGAATAAGCAAATCTCTGAAGGATCAGGGTTTTCTTCATTAATGCTTCAGCTTAGGTAGAAGCAGCCAGCAAAGTGAAGTGTTGTTAAAATTGTTTGGGATGTCAAATAACATTTCCAAAGTACAAACTCGAAAAATAACCATGGCTTACTTTTACTTTAATGTGTAATCCTGCTGTTAAACAAAATTGCCTTGTGAGTAATGCAGTCCCTTAAAATACTGTCATTTTTACTATTATAGAAATTTTAAATTATTCTGATGTAGTAAATTGTGCTCTTCTAAAATCTGACATGGGAATGATTGTTTCATTCATGTAAAAGAAGCCTTAAATTTTCTAAAAATGCCTGGGATCACAGTAAATTTTTCCCTGTTGTTAGTGAGGATCATCAGAAACACAGAATACTGTAAAAGAAAGAAGTTTATTTGCCAAAACTCATTTGACAGGGGTACTCAGGATCCCTTGTAAAAAAGCCCTATGCAAAAAATAACATGAATGAATTTGAACGTTATGGCGTTCTATAGAAATCAAGAAGATCTGAGTTATGACTTGACAGATTTCCAAGTCCATAGATGACAGTATTCACATTTCAAGTATGTAGCTGCTTTCAAGAATTCAGAGTTCTCTCTAAGCTCTTGTTGGATCTAATGTGCAGGACCCCACACAATTGTTGGATCATGTTCCAATGTGCAGGACCCCACTGTAACCTGTAACTTTTCACATACTTAGATTGCTGTGGGGATTGTAAAGCAATTGGGAGATTAAGGGAAAAAAGCCCAGCCAGCTCAGATAAGATGCTTGCTCTCACTGCCTGCAGCACCCTCTCACCACCAAGTGTTAGAACAGCAATAAGGAAGTGAGCTACTGTCAAAGTTACCTGTGATCCTGCTTGCTAGCACACTTGCAGAGACCTGAATATACACAGTAAAGGGGTGCTGTAAGTTTCAGTATTTAATGAGACTTCTATGTAAATCTTCTATAGGAAATAGATAAAGGGATCAATTGGTTGATTTATCCCTCATGTGAATTTCTGAATATGAATTTTTTGAGTATCGCTTTTTGAAAATTAGTAAACCCAAACTTTTACTCATGCTGGGTTGTTCACAAAATCTTTCAGTAAAGAGGGCAACCGTATGACTGCTGACCACTACAATTCTCGTAACAGGGAAACTTAGTAGGCTGTAAAGAATTAAATGAAACTACCGAATGCCTAGATTGAACTTTGAGTGAACCTAGAAGAGTAGGTATCTACCTAGAAGACAGCAGTGTAGACAGGGTTTGAATGGTTTGTGAAGAAATCTGGGGTGGTGAGAGGTTGCAGTTTTGTAGATTAATGCACAGTTAATGTTTACACTTATGCATTTACAAAAAAAATTAATCCCTGTTTTGATTAGTGGTGGAAATTAGGTAAATTATTATAAAATACATGCTAGACCAACATAAAGCTTTCTAGAAAAAAATGCAGAGGATCCTAGAGTAATCCAGTTTTGAAGGGATCTCAAGAGCTCAAAGTAGGGTCTCCAGGATCCAGGCTGCTTTTTTCAGTCAGGTCTTTAAAACCTCGGTGGATGGAGCCCATCCACCTCTGTGGGGTACCTGCTCCACTGCTCAACTTCCTCATGGTGGCAAAGCTTTTCCTTACATCCAGGAAAGAAAAGACATTTGAAAAGTTCTTAAGGACACGCCACACTATTTAAACCACTGGTCATTAAGTGGTGGTGCTTTCAGCACAGACAAAACGAGGGTCTCCGGCACAGCCTGCTCCCACAGCCCTGCCACCTGGGCCTCCCTTTCCCACCCTTTGGACTCCGCTTGGGGGCGGAGAGGCAGGAGGCGGGTGTTCTCCTGCAGCCAGCACGGGAGAAGCGGCTGCAGGCCCGTCCCGCCCGGCTGCCGCTCCTGCCGCAGCCACCGGCGGCCGGCACGGGGGCCCGGAGCCGGGGGTCCCTCCCCGCCGCGCATCCCTCGGAGCAGCGCGGCTTCTCCCCTGCACGCCGCCCGCCCCGCATCCCTCGGAGCAGCGCGGCCTCTCTCTCCCCTGCACGCCGCCCGCCCCGCATCCCTCGGAGCAGCGCGGCCTCTCTCTCCCCTGCACGCCGCCCGCCCACCCTCAGCGCCGGCGCTCGGAGCGGGACAAGCGGAACGCCAGCCGGCCCCTCCGGCCCCCGAGCCCCGCTGCCGCGGCCGCGCTCACCGTTCTCGCCGCCGCCGCGCCGGGAGCGCCGGCCCGTGCCAGCGCCGGCAGGGCGGGGCGCGCTGAGCCGCGGCGCGGGAGGACGTGGCCGAGCCGCAGCGCGACCCGGCCCAGCCTCCGCCGCTCGAGAAGCAGGCTTGGCCGGCAGTAGGAGAGTGAAAGGCCGTTGGATTAAAACAGCTTGCAGAGAGAAGTAGTGGGGTGAATAGGAAAGAAATGTTTTGATAGTAATTTCTCAGTAATATAATAGCAAAGGATGGAACATTTAAGTCAGATTACTCGAGTGCCTTTCCTCTGACAGGAAGCAGATGATCCTTTTGATTTAATAATGCCGATATCATGATGGGAGGCTTGCCTTACACCAGTGTATTTTCTTCATATGGCCACTACTTTATTACATAATTAAGTTCACATCTAGTCATTGGGCTTACATTGTTTTGCTGGTGGCTTTTCAGAAGTTCATTGAACTCTGATGGTGAGAACCATCTTCTTCTATCTTATTTTTTTAGCCATATCTACTTAACTTTCTCATCTAGAGTAACAAATCAGCAGTCACTTAAATTATTTCTAGACTAGAAATATTTTACTAGAGGTGTTGGGATTTTTTAACTAACTCCAAGTCTGCACAATCACATTTTCCAGAGAGTGAAAAATCACTACTGTTGTCTCCGTGAACCCTTCTTGTATCAGCTACACCTTCAGTAGTCTCTGTTGGGTCTGTAAAAAAAAGCTGATGAAGAAGAGAAATGCTATAGGAAGAAACTTCTGCTCTAGGAACAGGGTGCAGGGTTCAGGAACTTGGTCTCCTAAATAACAGCTGTTTCTAGAACAGTTAACAAAGTCCATGAATATAATGCATATAGTAATGTTAAAAACATGCACAGTTAACAAAGTCCATGAATATAATGCATATAGTAATGTTAAAAACATGCATCTAGAAAAATAGCTTCCAATTTGTAACACAAAAGGTACTGTACACTTGCTTTTTTATGGTTTTTTTTTCACTTCATGCCTTCATGTTATCTTTTTCCCCTTCTGGGCTAAATTAGCAATATTGTTTAAAAAAGTTAGTCACATGAGAACACTGTAGAGAGGTTTACTTTTGTGAGTTCCTTGATTAACTGTCGTTCTATTTTCTATTTCAGCTAAGTTAGAGTGGTTCTTCCCTTGAGATCTGACATTTTAATTAATATAGTCTGCATCTATTATATATTAATATATCCTAATACAATATTAATTATACATTAATATGTTCTTTCTCTCATTTCTGAGTCAGGAACAAACTGTCTCACATAGAAGGCATGGCCAGATAGAGCCAAAGAGTATTTTACATAATTATATGCTATTGATATACTGCAATTGTTATTCAGCCTGTAGCAACAAAGAGCTTAGAGACTGATGGTTTTCATGACTGCAATTTGTTTATGAAACCATAAGGTCTAGTGAGGAAGGGCTCTTTCCAGTATTCTCAGTATTCCCAAGAAGGCAGATTGGTTGATGCTGGACTTTATTCAGGACTATCTTCAGTGTGGCAGCCTTGTGGGGAGCTAGCAGGACACTTAATGAGTATGAAAAGCAATTTAAATGTTTGAAATAAAAACTATGCTGTGAAGTGACTCTCCTTAAAAATAAGGAATCTACTTCTTCAGTGTTCAAAAATTATAGAATTCAAATGAGTTTGATGGACAGTGGTCATTAACTACTGAATTCCTTTTTGTTTTTTATTTATTTCAAAATCATTTACCAAATATTTGGCATATGATAATAAAAAACCACCAGACAAATAAGGATGTACTTTATATTAACTGGAAAGCAGTGTTTGACTTTACAATGACCCCACTACGCCAGCTCTGAGTTGCAGCCAGGGTATATGACAGGATCCCATATGTTCTTCTTGAATCAGAATTATGAGCTGTGGAATATGGTATTCTACATACAACAAAGTGATAATTGAGAAACTCATCATAATTATGCTGTTGTTAAAGTCAGTGCTCAGAAACTGTTCACTCTCCACATGCTACACCTTTTAAAAAGAAATTTTGTGTAAGACCAAGCAGAAAGAGATTCTAATCCTGGCTGGGGCCTTGGCATACCTTGATTTTCAATGACAGGTGGGGCCTTGTCTGCCAGGCAAGGTGTGACAGGACAAGAGGACAGAGCCTCAAACTGCACAAGGGGAGGTTTAGATTGGACATCAGGAGGAATTTTTTCACTGACAGGGTTATTAAACATTGGAATGAGCTGCCCAGGGAGGTGATGGAGTCACCATCCTTGGAGCTGTTAAAGAAACAACTGGACGTGTCCCTCAGTGCCATTGCCTAGCTGAGATGGTGGTGTCAGTCAAAAGTTGGCCTCAGAGTTCTTTTCCAACCTAAATGATTGTGTGATTCTATTACTGTGTTTATTAGGTCATTCAAAGTGAGGAAAGAAAAGCACACGATGCATGTGTCTATTCTTGTTGACTTTTACTTTCTGTGGGTCTTAGCAGAAAAAAATATTTTAGGAGAAGGAAAAAAATGACCGTTCTTAAAGAACGGTCTGGAATTCTCAAAGTTAAGAAAGGTCTGTACTGCTGATTTGGGTCCTCTTCCTTTTACTTGAGACATTCTTTCTAATGAGACTACTCCTGCTGTTGCTATGCACTTGTCCGTGACGCTGTAGATTTGAACTGCAATCCACAAGTGGAGGTTTAGTTTCAGATCTGCATCGAGAGCTGCCCTGTGAAGGCTCCAAAGGGTTGTACTGAGTCCTGTGAGTGCGATGCCTCCGTCGGCTGTTGGCCGTGCGCACCGTAACGAAGGAGCCGGTCCGGGAACCCCGCTGTGCTGGCAGCACAGACGGTGGTTTGTTTGAGCTCTGTAATTAACAGTGAGAAATTCACCATTTAGTAATGACTTTACTAACGGTGCCCTAAGAGAGACCATTTTAACTCGTTCAGCTGCTTGAAAGCCTGTCTGGGTGCGGCAGAGCCGCACGGCCCAGCCGCTTTCTCTTGCCCGGGGGTGCCTTTTGACCGACACGTCCCGGCGGCACCGGGCAGCAACGAGCCCTCGTCCCTCGTCACGGAACCGCCAGGGTGGGAAGGGCCCTCCGGGGCTCCGCTGGGCCAGCAGGCGCTCCCTGCGCACACGCTTATGTAAGCGCCCCGCCCGTGCGGCGGCACCGCCGGGCACGGCTCCGGGCGCGCGCGGGCCGCGATACATAACAGGCTCGGGGGCGCGCGCACGCCGGCGCCGCCCGGCGGAAGCGGCGCTGCCGAGAGCCGCCTCGCGGCCCCGTGCTCATCCGGGTCCCGCCGCGCCGAGCCGAGCCGAGCCGAGCCGTGCGGGGGGGTGGCGGAGAGAGCCGGGCCCCGCCCCCCGCCGGCGCAGCCCGCCGGCCCCGCGCTGCCGCAGCGGGCGGGATTGCCGCCGGGGTGGCGGGCCCCCGGCCCGCCGCGGAAGCGGGGCCGCCCGGCCGGGCCTCCCTGCCCCGCGCGCCGCCGGTACCGAACACACCGCAGAAACGTGAGGGCCCGCGGTCACGTGGCCGCGGCGCCGGCCAATGGGCGGCGGGGGGCGGGGCGGAGCGGCCGGCGCAGCCCCGCGCAGTCACAGGGCGAGCGGCGAGGAGGCGGCGGCGGCACGGACGGCGCTTTCCGCGGGCAGGGCGCCGTCACCGCCCCGCAGTCACCGCCGGACCCAGCGCTCGCACCTTTCGTCCCCGCTCTCCCCGGCGCGGGGGCTCCGCGGGGTGATGCGTCCCCGGCGGGCGGCCGCTCCCGCCGTGTCCGCCGGGTCCTAGAGCCGTCCCAGCGAGGCCCCGCGGGCCGCCCCGCCGCCCGTCCGTGCTCGCCCGGCGGCGCCGGGCCATGAACGGCCCCGCGGGCGGCGGCGGTTCCCGCTGAGCGCCCGCACCCGGCATGGGGGTGAACGCCGTGCACTGGTTCCGCAAGGGGCTGCGGCTCCACGACAACCCGGCGCTGCGGGAATGCATCCAGGGCGCCGACACGGTGCGCTGCGTCTACATCCTGGATCCCTGGTTCGCCGGCTCCTCCAACGTGGGCATCAACAGGTGGCGGTGAGTGCGGGGCGCTGCGGGGCCCTAATGCCGCGTTATGTATTCGGTCACGCTGCCTCCCCGCCATCCCCTCCCCTCCGCGCCCGATTGGGCCGCCGCCAGCGCCGGCTTCCCGCGGCCGCTCGCCCGCCCCGCGGGCCGGCGGTGTTACATATCCAGCCCGGCGCCGGCCCGGGCTGCGGCGCACGTGGGAGGGACGGGGAAGACGGAACCGGGAAGCCCGCGGGGCGGTGGGCTGTGGCTTCCCGCTGAGGGGGGCGCTTGTTCTCGCTCCCGAGGGTGGCGGGTCAGTGCCCGAGCGCTGGAGCGCAGAGCGGGGTTGCTGCCGAGCGGAAAACCCTGTGGGGAGCAGCCCGGAGTGGGTTTGCGCCATTTCAGGAACTCTGGGCAGCCGGGAACCCCAGGGCGACACCGTCCTGGAGAAACTGTGAAGCTGCTCGCTTAGCTCAGAAGTACTTTTTCAAAGTAGCGTTCCTGCACGGAAGGGTATCACAAAATATCCTGAGTTGGAAGTGGCCCACGAGGATCGTGGAGTCCAACACCTGGCCCTGCGTAGGACAGCCCCAAGAAACCCACCGTGTGCCTGAGAGCATTCTCTAAATGCTCCTTGAACTCGGGCTGGCTCGGTGTGCAGTGTCCCTTTCTGGAAAGTGCGGATTTATTCCTACACCATCAAGCCAGTTGTAATTTTCCTACCCGATATAAAAATGAACTTTACTATGGTGCTGTGACTGACGCTTGCATGCTAAATGTGTACCATAAGGCAGAGGTTAATAGGACTTCTGTGCATGCTTGTCATGTGAGATTAGTTAAAAAATCACTAGGAATCTGAAAATTGTTACCCTTGTAAAATGCTTGATAATGCAGTAAGGTCTGTGTATCATCTGTCCCTCCAATGTCAGGAACTTGAAATGCTAGTGAACTTAGCCTGCCCAGACTACAATGCTGAATAGTTGCCTAATTATGGAACAAGCACAATGAAACTTAACACCACATCATAGACGAATGACAAAGTTTAGAAACTTCAGGTTTCCATTGTGTTTACTTGAGGGATTGTTCCTTTCAGATTTAATAATTTGTATCCTAGCTTATACTTTACCAGCCAGGTAACTTACCTTTGGAGGTTTTGAGTTTCTGGGGTTTTTTTTCAGATTTTGAGAGTTTTTCGTTACAATGTTCTTGTTTTCAAGAGATGAAAATACTAAAGATGCTTTTTGTAGACTTTAACTTGATGATTATTTCATTCGCACTGACAAAAATAACTTGGGAATAACTGTTAGATACTTCCCTTATCTGAGATTCATCATGTACGTTTATTTTATAAGAGACTTAACTCACTTTTGTTTTGAAGGGATAAGGTTTTTTTAATAACATTTTGACTTACTGAAGAGCCTCAGAGGTATTAATTTTGTGGGTGAAACATGAACAGCCACTGAATTTTGTGGGTGAAACATGAACAGCCATTGAAGTTTTAAAAGAATGTGGACAACTGGTACAAGTCTTAAGTGTTAAGGAAATCACATGTCTTAAGAATACTTCATAGGTCTCTAATGTGCCCTGCAGTTGAAATGCTGAACAGTTTTTGGTTGTACTCTCTGAGCTAGTGAATGATAGACAAATGTGAACTTTGGTTCTAGCAGAAGGAAGTTCATGTCTTCAGTGCTATTGCCCTGGATCTTCAGTGACTGTGTAATATTATCATTAGGTAATAGAGTCCTTGAGTTCATCTGTGTGTGATGTATTGCTGGTTGGTTTACTCAAACAGTGTTTTAATCTTTAAGAAGGCAGGTAGTCCTCCCACTACATTTTGCATTTGAAGAAAAATGCCTGGTTTTTGTTGCTGGTTAGAGGGACTGAATTTGGGGTAGATTACAACTCCCCTGTCCAAAGCACATCGAGCAATCTCCTGGTACTCAAATACCGCCAAGGGACATGCTGCACATGGATTTGAGTAGGAAATGTTGCTGCCTTCAGAGCCTGGTTTCATGAAATCGTCAGGTTTTTTTCAAGTTTAAAAGTACAATAGCTTTATAGAATAACTGACTTCTAAAACTGTATGTTTGTTAAGTTGCTTCTCAGTCAGTTTTTATTTAAATGAACAGTTACTGGTTTGGGATGAATCCTCGTTAGGTTCCAGTGATTTTAATGAGATGCTTTTAACCAGTGCTGACACATACATTCCCAGTAAGTATACACAAAATCTATGATGCAATTTTTTAGTTTCCCAGTCTTATTTGGCACTTATAATTAATGGAAAAACATTTAATGTTCTTTTTCACTTGATCACTGTGAGCAAAATCCTTGCTTGCGTGCCTATTGAGTAGGGTGTTGTAGTGAGAAACATTTTATTTGAGACTAGGAGCAGAAGCCCTTCAGCAGTAGGAAGGTGAGTCAAATTTAACCTCCTGGTGTGAATTTACAGTGGTCCTTTCTTAATTTGAGTTGATTGACACCAAGTGTTTGTTGTCCTACTGCCCTGGGCAAAACTCTTCTCTGTCAAACTATGACTAATGCAATCTACATGAGGAAAAATGGTGAAAGAATACAAGAAACCAGGAGGTTCAGCTTCTTGTTAGAATATTGTCATTGTCATTCTGCAGGGTCACCAGTTATGGTTTATATTAACAAATGTGTGTTAAATATAACACACAATAGGTTGCTGGTAAATAGCAATCTTTAACACATAGGTGCTTTCTAATTAACTTTTCTCTTTAAACAGTCATGTAACAATCAGGGAGTAATATTTTTGTGTAATTGCACTATTGAGTAAGTCTAATTACTAAGCAGTCACATGGTCTTACTGACCTCCTTTCTCCTGGCATTCAGCCTACCTGTTCTAAATTAGTGAATGCTACGTAACAAATGCCAGGACCTCCTTCAGTTCACTTCTTCTTTTTTTTTTTTTTTTTTTTTCTGGGTCTGTTCAGTTTCTCCTTATTGTTCCTTTTTTTCGAGCTGTCAAATAAATCAAGATGTGCTTTCATTGAAACATGTTTTTTCTATGGGATGTGTTCATAATGTTGTCCACAGATCAACACTTGGAGAGAGAAGTTACTTGGTGCAGTAAAAGGTGTAGAAATAAATGGTGGAGGGAGATGCCAAATTGCACTACGTCTCTCTTAAAATTTTGTCGGTTGCCCTTAAATGTTAGGCGTCAGAATTAGCTTGTATCTAAATTGTGTCAACAAAGCAGGCAAAGAATGTAACTTGCATACTCCAACAAGTAACCATTACCTACTTCTGAAAAAATGTGTTCGTATGTGCTCACAGACTTTTCCATATTAAGGAGAATGGGATTTCATGCTTTACAACATCACCTAGGGGAGAGCTTCACTGGTTTTAGTGCAGAGTGACAATTGATCACAATACCTGAAAAGAAATGGAAACATTGTTAGTTGCTGCATAAGGATTTACTTTAGGTAATAATTTACCTCTTCTGAATTGTCTTTTTTGGGTATATATGTCTGTCTTTGATATGCTAGTTAAAACACTTTTTTAACCATTGATGAAGAGAATGGATTTTACTTTTAAAATAGGAGTAATTGAATTTGCTTTGTATATCTCTTAGATTTTGTGAGAATATTGATGTGTTCAACATTCTTCAAAGTTAGCTGCTGCTATTATTGCAGATAGTGGTATTGGCTTTGGAGAGAGGAGAGAGATGATTTATTTTTCCACACTCAAATTTCAAGCAAATAAAAAAACCTGAGTGAAAAAAAAAGTTTCATTTCCAGGACAATCACTGCAATTCATGGAAATGGAACTTGTTTTAAAAATAATACTTGGACATCTTTCTGTAGTATCTATTAAATTTTGCTGTTCTATGCATCTAGTTTTGGAAATATACTTACAGTTTCCGCTTACATAGTTATGATTTGTCCAATAGAGATGTGTTTGTTGGATGGGGGATTGGTGGAAAAAGTTTGTCAATAGAATTAATCTATGAGTGATTTGAATTTCATATGTGTAATTCAGGCAGACAAAATTTGTGTATTATACTTCATTCATTTTTGGTGACATGCTTAATATATAAAAAGGAATGCACACAAATATTTATTACTTCCCTGATGAGGACATCTCTTTAAGTTTGTTTTTATTGTGTAGTACTTAGAATGAAAATCTATTTAATTTATTAAATATTTAACATAGCCCACCAAAGGCGCTCTGTCGTTCCCCTTGATTAGGCAGGGAGTAGAAAGTAAAAAGCTTGTGAGTCAAGATTAGGACAAGGAGAGACCACTCAGCCATTACCATTGTGGGGAAAATGAATTAATTTATTACCAATCAAATCAGAATAGGGTAATTGAAAATAAACAAAATTCTTAAAACACCTTCTTCCCACCCCTCTGTTCTTTCTGGCTCAACTTCACTCCCATTTTCTCAACCTCCTATCTCCAAAGAACACAGAGGGTTGAGGAATGGAGGTTTTGGTCAGTTAATCAGATGTTGTCTCTGCTGCTTTTTCCTCAGGGGAAGGATTCTTCACGCTCTTATTTTCTCCACTGCGGTCCTTCATGGGCTGTAGGTGGACAGCCTTCCTTTCAGTGGTCTTCACCACAGGCTGCAGGGGAATCTCTGCTCTGGTGCCTGAAGTATGTCCTCCCCCCTACTTCTTTCCCTGACTTAGGAGTTTGCAGAGTTGTTTCTCTCGCCTGTTCTCAAGCCTCTCTGGCTTCAATGGCTCCTGAGCAGTAATATTTTCCTCCTGTCAGATACATTGTCCCAGAGGCACTACCTTGACCAGCGAGTGGCAGGTTGGTGTTGGATGGAGCTGTCTGGCATTGGCCTGGAAAGACAGATGGAAAGCTTCCAGAAGCTTCTCACAGCAAGCCACCTTTGTAGCCCCCTGATACCTTGACTTGTGGCCATGCAAACCCAGTGCAACCCAGCATACCCTCTAATGAGTGGCTTCAGCTCTAGAGTGGTGTGTGCCACTTGGAGCACTTGTGTTCGCCCAGCCCACTAAACTGAGGGTGATTAATCTGTGAGAAGTCTGTAGC